AAAGCAACAGAAGAGCCTGGGAGATGGCTCAGTGGAATAAGCGCTTCCCTGGCAAGCGCAAGGGCCTGAGTTCAATCCCCGGGTCTGCAATAAATAAATAAATAAATAAATAAATAAAAAGCAACAAAATAGTAACTTTTAAATGCCTACTACAAAGGGATCTGGGGAGAGAACTCAGTAGAATAAGCACTTGCCTGGCAAGTGCAGGGTCCTGAGTTTAATCCCCCATACCACTAAATAAATAAATAAATAAATAAGAAATAAAATCAAGGGCACATAAATGCCTACTACAGAAATTACATCTTTTATAGCTATCTAAAATTTTGATCATAAATATTTAGACATGCCAATAATTTTAAATATGGCCACAGTTTTTCAAAGTTTGAATCTTTTTGTTGTTGTTTTCATTTTGCAGTACTGAGTTGAGCCCACACTCTACTCCTGAGCTATGTCTGCAATTCTTTTTGAGACATGGTCTTGCTCAAGTGCCCAGGGTGGTCTCCAACCTGAGACTCTCCTGCCTCAGCCTCCCAAATGCTGGGATTACAGGTGTGCCACACCAAGTTTGGCTTCTCAAGGTTATTTTATGGAACATGGGAGCCAGATGCTGAACAGCCTCTGCTTCAACATAATATAAAATATTTCTAATTTAACCCAGTACCATTGATAAAACAGCTGCCTTCTACTGATACCAAGTCTGTCCTTCCCCTTGTGTCCAACATACTTTGGAAAATGACTTCTCTCCAGTGCAGATATCAAAAACTACTCCCTTCAAAAAAAAAAAAAAAAGATGGTGGGCTGTATATGCAGCCCATAGGCACATACATACTGGTGGCCCTGAGTTCCATCCCCAGCAGGAACAATGACAATAAAACCAACCAAACATAATAAAGTGCTGAAAAAACATTTCCTTCCCACCTGAAACCAAAAATTGTACTCCTTAGATTACACTGTCCTAACTGCTGGCAATACACAGCTCATTTACCACGTAGTGGCTTACAATGTCTAAATGATACTTCCTACTGTGCAGTAGGATTTGTGTGGCAAAGTAGTGACACTACACCTGAACCAGGCAAGCATAACCTTTTAACTCTTCTTTATTATGCTTCAAGGATCTGCTGTGCATTGTCTACTCAAAATTTCCCCTCCTCTGTAATGAGAAAAATGCAGGTGTCCACCAATCCAGTGGCTCTAGAATTCAGAGGCAGAACCGGATTCAGATGTAGAACCACATTGAGCAGCAGGATCCCAACACGGAAGGCACTTTTTGAGCACAGTAAATTAAGCACCCTTGGGCCTGGATTCAGGAATGCAGTTTCCTCTAGATGCCAGCAAAATCCCTCAACAGGTTTAGGAGGATGAAAACACCAAGACTTGGGTTAAACAATGCCTTTCCAACCTGGGCTGCTGGCCAAGCAGAGGTGGGAGGGGAAGGTGGCAGCATCCAGCAACTCCAGCAGGGTATGCAAATCCCCTGGGCTGCAGGGGATCCACCAGGGACACCTCCGTCCTCGGAGGCCAGCACCCTCCTGACTCTTAGCACAAAGAGCACCTTCCTTGGCTCCCTGCAGCCTCATGGAGGAACATGTTTTGAGCTGTCACAACATTTAAGATACTACAGCTGCACTCTTCTTCAAAAGAGAAACTCCTCTTTCTCATCCAAGGATCCGAAGTCACACAGCAGTGTGCCCAACAGCCCTTCTCTCTAACCTCAGGGTTTTGTGTTGGCTCCCACAACCTCTCTGAAAAACCCAGCACTGTGCTTATCTCAAGCTGACCTCATTGAACAAGGATCCACACTGACTGTGGACCTTAACATCCATACCCTGCAAGACAAACCAAAGCGGACCACCCACTGCTCTCACCAGGTAGGGAATACAAGCTGAGGGAAAAATCGTTGTTGATAGGAAAACAGTAAGCTGGTTATGCTGCTGCCCCTAAATCAGTGCATGTTTTAATCTTCTTAAAACACCTCTTTCACAGGTCACTTGCTAAGGAAGCCACATCATAAACACTATTAGACCTTCATTAAATATTTCTCACATCAGCCCCGCTCAAATGGCAGGGCCTGGGGGGGCCTTGGGCACAGCTAGTCTAGTTTCTCTTCTGCTGGCCTGGAGAAGGTCCTAGGGTTCTCCGAAAGTGTGCCTCACTTCAACAGAGGCTAAGAATTGGATTTTTTTTTTTTTAATTCTCAAAGTTCCACGTCTGAAAAGATCCTTGTTCATTGATTTTGGTGGGGCAGTTACACTAATCTAAACAAGGGAACCTTGTCTAGGAGCCAGTGGGGGAGGTGCAGCAGCTTGGGCCCTCTGCAGACTCCTGTTTACAGATCCTCCCCACCAAGGCTGCTCTTTATCCACAAGGCTTGTTCCCACCATTGGATTTTTCACCCAACACAACTAAAATGCTCTCATAATCTTTGGCTTGGAGTCACAGCAGCCCTTTTCACGGTGTTTCATTGAGCACACCTCATCAACATAATCACATTGTGATTAAAAAAAAAAAAAAAAATCCAGGGAACCAAGGAGGCAAGCTCAGAGCAGTGTCCTCACCAACCTTTAACAACACAGCTGCTGGGACATCTTGACTCCACAACTTATAAACAGGCTCTGCCAGGGGTGTTCCCAAAGAGGGCACTGGCAATTTGGTGGGATTGCTGTCACTTACACTACTCCCTAGTTACCCTCACTCAGTGCCAGTCCTTGAAGCTGTCACAAACTGTCCCTGCTGGCTACCCAAAGCTGGACATCTGGACCTTTGGGGCAAGTGAAGGAGGGCACCGACAGACAGATGCACCTCAGTTGAAAACTGACAACAGCAGCCGCCCGAACTCCCAACACTGCCCCTCATCCTCCCCAGCAGCCTTTCTGACGACACAGATGAAATCAATTCAGTACCAAACAACCTAACATCAGCTCAGATACCTTCCCAAGCTTCTCTCCTCCAACCGGGATGGGGGAGCTGCTGTTGCTACCGCTGCTGCTGCTACCGCCGCAGCCCTCTCCTCCCCTGCAGAGCAGCAGGGCCGGTGGAGGCGGGATCTCCCTGCTCCGGGGGAGGGGCAGAAGCCAATACAGCAGCTCTCCCACCCCTCCCCCACCCTAACCTCACCAATAAGCAAAGTTATTGGGTGTTAAAAGCTTGCTAGTCCCCCTGGAGATCACCAGGCCTAATCTCCCATCTCTCTGCGATGCGACAAGGGTCAAAGCTGCAGCACACAGCATCTCAGCAAAAGACAGGAAGAGAGCAAATGAATACTACAGGCCCGGGAGCTGGTCCTGGGCAGCCTGGACAACACCATCCACCCACCCACCCTAGGATACAGTCCAGACATACCCACCTCAGCAGATCTAATATGCATTTCAAACTATCAAGTCTTTCCTTTTCAGCAACAACCACAAAAACAATTAGCTTGATTTTAAGACAACCTACTCCTTCAACCTCTCTCCAGAAAGAAGCCCAGGATTTATTATTATGCCTGAGTCTCTTTCCCAGAAGCCCAGAGAGCTTTAGGCCACAATCGCTGCTCCTCCCCACTCTCCAACAGCTTCCGCAAAGTCTCTCCCTGGCACTGAACTCTGCTTGCTCCTTCAATACTTTAATTCAGATCTAACAAAAAAGTGAGGAAATTATCACATTTTGTTTCAGATGGGTGGATGATCCTGGTTCTGATGTGTGATCACCTGCTACAATTCTTAATCAGTAAATCAATCCTCCAGCCTTTTCTTACTTTTGCCTACTAAAAGAACAAAATAACAGAGGGCAAGATTCTTACCACACCCTACCTGTCCATCAGTGGAAGACGGGCCAGAGGAGACAGCTGCAGGTAGTAAAAGTACAGAGCACATTCACAACTCAACTGGGAAGGTCCGGTGCAATTTCTCCCAGCCATCTGAATCTCCAGGCCAAGACAATCACTTGCTTGACCCTGCTTCAGTCACTAAGCTTGTAAACCCTCTGGCTTCCTGGGCCCTGGCCCAGAGAAGGCCACTCCAATAAGTAGCCGCTGCAATGCTCGACTCAGCTGAGAAACAGATTCAGAAATGTCTCACTGTTACTGTGAATCCACACTCCATCAGTGGCCGGGTCGGAAAAATCCCAAACCCTAAACCACCAGGTGTACTCTCCCACCTTTCGCTGACCCCTCACCAACCAGCAGCCCGTGGCCCCGCATCTGAGCACACCTGTCCGGGAAAATCCCTCACTGGAGTGTGCCCCTCAGGAGTCCAGCAAGTGCAGTAAGCCCTGGAAAGGAATGGGTTAAGCTCAAGGGCGAGAGGATGAGGGGTGCCAGCGAAAGATGCCATGTGTGCTGAGGTCCAGAGGTACGCACAGGGACCGCTCCAAAACACAGGCTCTGGACCAGGAGCACTGATGTCTTGGCTTCTTCCGCCAGAGCCAAGGTCAGCCTCGAGAAATAAGGCATCTCCAAAAAGCCAGAGCAGGGACAGTCCCCTGCCCAGAGGGGCAGGCTCGGTTGGAGTCAAAGTGGGACACTGCCAGAGAGCGTGTGCGCTGGTGCAGAGAGGAACGGGGGCATTCTGCGAGTGGCGGAAAAAGTCTGATCTCTTAGAAGTTAAGAGAGGGCAGGAGGGGCACCGGCGGGGATTGGGGTGCAAAGCACTGTCCGACTCCTCTCCAGGAACCTGAAAAAGCTGGAGTTGAGAAGGATGTTGATGGATGAGCTGGGGGGCTATAGTCTAAAGGGAGGCGCGCGCTCCGGGTGGGGGCTTGGGATGCTCGAGAAGGCTTCCAGAATGAGGACGAGGTCTGGCAGGTGCAGTAGGGAAGGGAAGATGCCAAGGAGTGGGGGCGGGGCAACTAGGGGGTCTGCGCCCCGCTGAGCAGGGGTTATCCTCCCCCGGAGTAGGGACCCAGGACTGGGGCTACGGGCAGGCCAAGAGTTCGAGGCGCAGGCCGCGCGGAATAGGATGGGGCGGGGGCGGCCGGTGCTAGCGTCAGGTGTCGGGAATAGGGAGCCGGGCGCGCCCGCTCACCTGTCTCCTCCGGCCGGGGCCGCGGGGCGGCGGGGCGGCGGGCCGGCCGGG